TTCATCATCCTTTCTGATTAAGCACCAATCCACCAAAATGTAGAGACCTAAAGTATAAGTATAATCTATTCTTGATGTGAACCCCAAAAAGCGCAATAAGAGCAAAGACATTCAAAACCCCAAGGAAAGCCAAATAAGATTATAGAAGACAAACTTTGACATGTTATTTATATTGTAACAAGAACAAAAGATATAAAGGAATTTTGATGCCACACTAAAACATGATTAAGAACGAGAGTAATAAATCAAATTAGAACACCACAAAAATAATCTTTCATAAGTTCTGTAAAGTTCACAAATGAACCAAGAGAAAATGTTCTCAAATAATCTCATATTCAATTAACCATCTCCAACCCTTTAAATAGCTAAATTAATCCAACTAAGAATAAGAAACTATATTCTGTACACAGATCCAATTAAAAGTAGAATTGGATGTACACTACTTCTAAAAATGTTTGAATTTGTGTTATTCCTAATAAGACACGAATTAGACTTTCAATTAAAAACAATTTTTAGCCCAAATAACTCAAAAAAAAAAACACAAATTTAAGTGAAAATAACATAAAAATCGTTCAAAACAACTTAAAATAATGCAAAATATCAATTTGCAATATTATAACAAAAGTGTGCATTTGTGGTCGAATTCAGTGATTTCAATCCAAACTATGTAATTAAGTCAAAACGACCTCAAATAAGTTGTTCTTGGACTTAAAAAATGTTAACTAAATCTTAACAATGCTTCAAGTTTTTATTCACTTGTTGTGTGTTACTTTTAGCCTAAACCTCCACAATAAGCACATTTACAGCTTTTTGTATCTTTTTAACTCTTGCTTTCATTATCAGACTTCCATGAATATACAATGGTTCACTTGATGTCATATGTGTGCTGTCATCTTGATTCTCATCAATTTTGCTTGAACAATGTCACAGTTTTACACCCTAATTCGGGAAAATTCTATGTGCAGGAAATTGATTATAATCACTCAATGATCAAAGTTGTGGATCCTGATGTTAATCAAGGTAACTATTCTTCACTACCTCTCTATTCCCTTGGCATTGATAAGGTCACAACAGACAGCAATCCATATTACTTTCATCCTGGAGAAGCTCATCTTTTCCTAAACTGTGGAAAACCAGTAAATGATATTCGCTACGTGGATGCTTCCTCTTGCATTGATGCTACTACTTTGTCCAAGTCTAAAAAGGTATTATTATGCTAAGATTGGAAGAAAAACAGCATTTGAGTTAGAGAAGTCATGCCAGATTGAGCTAATGGTTCTTTGTTCTTCAAGAGAGATGAGTGATAATAACATTACCTACCTAGATCTTCACCATCAGTTATCATATGGATTTTGAGCTTTGGTGGTTTCCCTGCCCTTCTGTATGGATTGGTACGTAACGAACATATGTTGCCCGTTGATTAAACATATGCAAATGTAACTCGCTAATTTTGGGTCCTTTTTTTTAAAATGAACTGTATGCAAATTCAATGTCTTGCTTCTCTCTGATTTTGGTATATGGTACCTATTGCAGTTTTGGCCATGCATTACACTTATTTATCCTACACAGCACTCGTATTAGGTAATTAGAACCTTTCTCTTCTGGAGCTATTGTTTTTCATTTATCCATGTTGCATCGTCTTGAATCATGAAGCATGAAAAATTCAAGTACATTTGATGAGATTATAAGAAAAAAATATTAAGAACTCTAGGAGAAGCAGGCAATATTTATCGGATACTTTATTTCATAACCAATTATATCAATAAATATCTTTTTATACTCACAGATGTACTTCATGGGGTGGCATCTGCTCCTGCAATTCCAAGCTTCATCCTGTTTCTGTTATATAAATGGCA